TGCAGCTCTGTGATTTGGTATCCTGCAGCTCTACTCTGAGGGCACCACTGCACTCCATCCTGGGGACAGAGCAAGATTCCATCAACCCCCCACCAAAAAAATTAGACAGGAGTGGTGGCACTCCCTGTAGTCCCAGCGATGCCAGAGGCTGAGGCAGGAGAATTGCTTGAATCCTGGAGGTGGAGGTTACAGTGAGCCCAGAAGGCACCACTGCACTACAGCCTGGGAGACGGAGTGACACTCCGTCTAAAAAAAAATAAAATAAAATTTCTGTAGAGAAAATTAAAGCTGAGAAAGAGGAGAGAGCATGTTGGGTTTGAGGAAGAGGTTGCAAGACCCCTTGATCGTCATAGAAGGCATCTCTGAGATCTCAGGTGACATTTCAACAAAAACCTGAGGCTGGCCACTGTGCCCCTACATCCTCCAGGTTCCACCTCAGGCCTCTTATTACCCTCTGCCTTGCTTTTCCACTCCAAACAGCTGACCTCTTTTCATTTTCAAATTCCTTATTTAAAAAAAAAATCTGACACGCACCTGCTCAGGGGGCTGAGGTAGGAGAATCAGCCGAGCCCAGGAGGCAGAGGTTGCAGTGAGCCTAGATCATGCCTCTGCACTCCAGCCTGGGCGACAAGAGAGATACTGTCTCAAAAACTAATAACAATAATGGTATCTATATGACTCCATGTCACACATCCCCTTGGCTGCTTCCTCCGACTTCATGGTGTGGATACTTCTAGACTTATTTGTGGATCACAATTATAAAACATCTTTTTCTTTGGTCTCAAAGAAAAAGTTTAAGACAACAAACTCTCACATATCCCTTGCAGTATCTCCTTGTCTCACCTCTTTTTAATATTTCATCCAAAACTGCTTATTTTCTTGTAAGTCCTTGTGGGACAAAACTTCTGAAGCCTTGCATTCCTGGGGATCTTATTATCAGGCACCTGTATTTGAGTAGTTTGGCTGGATGTCACTTGAGGTCAGGAGTTCCAAGACCAGCCTGGCCAACATGATGAAACCCTGTCTCTACTAATAAACCCTGTCTCTAAAAATAAACCCTGTTTCTAAAAATAAATAAATAAAACAGATAAATAAACTTATTTACTTCTCCAACATCTTCTTGAATCTAGTATTGCTGTTAAAAATAATAATAATAATGTCAGGCCAGGCACGGTGGCTCACACCTGCAATCCCAACACTTTGGGAGGCCAAGGCAGGCAGATCACAAGGTCTGGAGTTCGAGACCAGCCTGGCCAACATGATAAAATCCCGTCTCTACTAAAAATACAAAAATTAGCTAGGCATGGTGACAGGCACCCGGAGTCCCAGCTACTCAGGAGGCTAAGGCAGGAGAATCGCTTGAACCAAGGAGGCAGAGGTTGCAGTGAGCCAAGATCACATCATGGCAAGGCGATAGAGTGACTCTGTCTCAAAAATATATATTTTATATACATATTAATATACATATATGTATACTTTATATAATATATACATTATATATAATATACATATATGTATACTTTATATACAATATAAAATATACATATATATTTTATATATTTTTATACATGTATATAAAATGTCGGTCTGATTCTTATTTCTTTATATGCAATTTGCCCCTAGAATTTTCTCTTTGGCTTTGATCTACCTAAATATTACTAGAATATATGTAAGTGTGGGATTTTTCCAACTCTCAGCTTTGGCAAGCTATGGGCCCTTTCAATCAGAGGTTTGACAAGTTTTTGAATTCTCAGAAATTAATCTCTATTTTTTCTTCAATACTTCCCCCTCACTTCTTTCTCTCTTAACCCATGTGTCTGGATGTTAGCACTTCTACAACTATCCTTTGTATTTCTTAGCTCTTCTTTTCTATTTTATATTACTTTGCTCTTTTGCTTTTTTTATTCTGAAACATTTCATTACTATGGTCCAATTCTTTTTTTTTTCTTTGAGATGGAGTCTCACTGTCACCCAGGCTGGAGTGCAGTGGCTTGATCTTGGCTCACTGCAACCTCTGCCTTCTGGGTTCAAATGACTCTCCTGCCTCAGCCTCCAGAGTAGCCGGGACTACGGGCACACGCCACCACACCTGGTTAATGTTTGCATTTTTAGTAGAGATGAGGTTTTACCATGTTGGCCAGGCTGGTCTCAAACTCCCGACCTCGGATGATCCACCACCTCAGCCTCCCAAAGTGCTGGGATAACAGGCATGAGCCACTGTACCTGGCCTATTTATAACTTTTTTTATTGTTGTTTTTCTTTCTTTTTCTTTGAGACAGAGTCTTGCCCTGTTGCCCAGGCTGGAGTGCAATAGCACGATCTCAGCTCACTGCAATCTTTGCCTCCTTCAAGTGATCCTCCTGCCTCAGCTTCCTAAGTAGCTGGGACTACAGGTGCACGCCACCATGCCCAGCTAATTTGTTGTATCTTTAGAAACGGGGTCTCGAACTCCTGACCTTATGATCTGCCTGCCTTGCTCTCCCAAAGTGCTGGGATTATAGGCATGAGCCACCATGCCCAGGCTTGTTGCTTTTCTTTAGGATATTTATATGTAAATGACTCCTTTACTAAATTATGTGTATTATTATTGAGATGGAGTTTCCCTCTTGTTGCCCAGGCTGATCTTGGTTCATCGCAACTTCCGCCTCCCAGGTTCAAGCAATTCTGCCTCGGCCTCCTGAGTAACTAGGATTACAGGCATGCACCATCACACCGGGCTAATTTTGTATTTTTAGTAGAGGCGGGGTTTTTCCATGTTGGTCACAAACTCCCCACCTGAGGTGATCGACCCACCTCAGCCTCCGAAAGTGTTGGGATTACAGGCGTGAGCCACCACACCTAGCCTTTTACTAGTTTATACTAATTATAAGTTTATTAAGGGCCAGGCGAAGTGGCTCACTCGTAGAATCCCAGCACTTTGGGAGGCTGAGCTGGGTGATCACCTGAGGTCAGCAGTTCAAAACCAGCTGGGTCAACATAGTGAAACCTGTTTCTACTAAAAATACAAAACTTAGGCCAGGCGCCGTGGCTCTCACGCCTGTAATCCCAGCACTTTGGGAGGCCGAGGCGGGTAGATCACGAGGTCAAGAGATGGAGACCATCCTGGTCAACATGGTGAAACCCCGTCTCTACTAAAAATACAAATTAGCTGGGCATGGTGGTGCGTGCCTGTAATCCCAGCTACTCAGGAGGCTGAGGCAAGAGAATTGCCTGAACCCAGGAGGCAGAGGTTGCGGTGAGCCAAGATCACGCCATTGCACTCCAGCCTGGGTAACAAGAGCGAAACTCCGTCTCAAAAAAAAAAAAATTAGCTGGGTGTGGTGGTGGGCACCTGCAATCCCAGCTACTCAGGAGGCTGAGGCAGGAGAATCGCTTGAAGCTGGAAGTAGAGGTTGCAGTGAGCCACAATCGCGCCACTGCACTGCAACCTGGACAACAAGATGGAAACTCCGTCGTAAAAAAAAATTTACCTTTTGGACTTGAAATACTTATTGCAAAAATCACGTTTCTTATATTAATACATTTTTTCCACTTAGTATCCTATTGTATTGCTCTGCCCATAAACTTTAAAATGTAGTTATGCAGTAATCTTTGGGATTTTATTCTTGATCTTAATGGGTCGGTTCAGTAGTCAGCATGAAGTTTATCTGGACTGACAATCTGAATTAGAGTACCTTTTTTTAAGACGGAATTTCACTACTGTTGCTCAAGCTGGAGTGCAGTCTCAGCTCACTGAAACCTCTGCCTCCCAAGTAGCTGGGATTACAGGCATGCACCACCACACCCAGCTAATTTTCTACTTTAGTAGAGATGGGTTTTCTCCATATTGGTCAGGCTGGTCTCAAACGCCCAACCTCAGGTGATCCACCCGCCTCGGCCTCCCAAAGTGCTGGGATTACAGGCGTAAGCAACTGAGCCTGGCCGAATTAGAGTATTTGAATCTTAATCATGTCATAAAATATTTTTATGTTTAAAATCATGTTACAAAGTATTTATTTCGGCCAGGCCTGGTGGTTCAAACCTGTAATCCCAGCACTTTGGGAGGCCAAGGCAGGTGGATCACTTCAGGCCAGGAGTTTGAGACCAGCCTGGTCAATAGGGCAAAACCTCAGCTCGACAAAAAATAGCCAGTCATGGTGGTGACACACGCCTATAGTCCCAGCTCCCAGCTATTCAGTAGCTGAACCCAGGAGATGGAGGCTGCAGTGAGCCAAAATTGCGCCACTGCACTCCAGCCTGGATGACAGAGTAATGTCCCGTCTCAAAAACAAACAAAAAATAAAAACACACAAATTGAAAAAAAAACTTAGAGAGGGCAGGGTCAGAATAGAACTTTCCCTTTACAGAAAGCTCAGAAATAGAAGTCATTTACATGTTTTTTTTTTCTTAGGCCTCAAGTGTTAGGAAGAGTGACACACCCTTGTGACTTCTCAGACAGCTACTTCTCTGTAGTGATGTCCCAACATCTTCTTTAATGCTGGAGCCCTCATTCCAAACACCTCACCTGCCCTCCTCCCAATATGCAAAGCTGATGATTAAGAGCAGGGCACTGGGCCGGGTGATTAAGAGCGGTGGCTCACGCCTGTAATCCCAGCACTTTGGGAGACCGAGGCGGGTGGATCACGAGGTCAAGAGATCAAGACCATCCTGGTCAACATGGTGAAACCCTGTCTCTACTAAAAATACAAAAAATTAGCTGGGCACGGTGGTGCGTGCCTGTAATCCCAGCTACTCAGGAGGCTGAGGCAGGAGAATTGCCTGAACCCAGGAGGCGGAGGTTGAGGTGAGCCGAGAGTGCGCCATTGCACTCCAGCCTGGGTAACAAGAGCAAAACTCCGTCTCAAAAAAAAAAAAAAAAAAAGAGCAGGGCACTATTTAAAAACCACTCTTCAGTACATTGAAAAAAAAATGCCTACTTTGCATTTGGATGACTCAGGGCTCCCATGCTGAGGTTGAGCATCTCAGCTCCCAGACCCAAAAACCCTGAGACACAGACACACTCGTCTTTCAATATGTTTCCTTTTATTTTGAAATTGAAACAGCAAAATGAAGTGGTTTGTGGCTTCATGGGAAAGAAAACTGGAGTGTTCGTTCATCCATCAAAGAACAAACTCCAACATCTGAGCCAGCTGCCCCACCTCCCCCAGACAAAGCAATGCACAGATTAAAGGATGGGACGAAGGATACAATCAAAATTGGGTGGTGATGGCTGGCGGAATCCAGTAAAACACAATTTCAAAGTTGCTGAAATTACAGAATAAGGTAGCACTCATATTTTTTAAAACGTTCCCGAGCAGTAGGCCTCCAGCCCGTCCCGATTTGCTCTCATCAAAATACATCTTTCCCTCTTCTGCTTCAGAAGGATGTTTCAGAACTGCTTACAAATCCACTTTGTCTCAGGGGAGGAGGCTCTTTTGATTTACTCTGGTTTTGGGGACCAGGATAGAGATTCTGGAGAAAAGGGAGACTCCAAATGGTGGTGGAGGACGTTTATTCATTATGGTAACTCATCATCTGCTGAAATTCATTTTGAACGTACTTTTACATAGCAGTGGCTAACATAAAATGTGCACAGAAATGTTACAAGTGGTTCCCCAGCCCCACAGTGGGTAAGTGCCAGTCAAGATTTAAGCATCCCCAAAACAAAGCCTGTATTCCTGGGAGCTTGTTGGCAGGGGCAGGGGTGACTGATGTCAGCTTGCTGGGAGGGGAGAAGGGAGAAAAGCGCAGGAAGGACTCACTGGCAGGAACGGGGTGGGGGTGGGGTGAGACAAGCCAGGGGCAGACTGAAAGCTGTACCTGTTAGAATAGCTAGCATGTTATTTTAAACAAGTGAAGAAAATTGCCAAAGAGTGAAACTTATTTACGGGGGAAAAAAAAGCTTGGAAAATTAAAACAATCCAGTGATCACTGGACAATGTCTCCCTCTTTTAAAAAAAAAAAAAAATTTTTTTTTTTGGTTTTTTTTTTTTTTTTTTTTTTTTTAAGTTTTTTGGAAAGTATTCTCAAGGTATATTTTTTTCCTTTGGAAAAAGAAATCTTTTTCCCCCCCTAACCTAAGCAAGTGGAGTTGCCACTACCTAATTTATCTATTGTTTTGCTAAGAGGTAGATAAAACAAAAGTGAAACGGGGCTTCTATGAGGAGGTCCATTAGAGGGTGGGGAGGAGCTGGGATTGCCCAGTGGAACTCCCCCAACTACAAAGACAGCCTGAAGGAGTCCAAGGACCAGGCCCTCAGACTCTCCCAGGGCGAAGGATCCTGCTCCACCTCTTCTAGAGTCAACTGGGGCCCCCTTGAAGACTGAGAAGGGGCCCAGTGGAGGTGTAGGATCTCAAAGAAACCCTGTTGAAGAGGTCTCAGATCTGGCTTCCCCAGGCTTTCTGACTTAGGGGCTGTGTGGGTGGGTTCCAGACCAAGCCCCAGGTCTCACTCCAGCCAGCCCCCTCTAGGGGGGAGGCCATTCCTTTCCTCACCATCTGGTCCAACAAAGCTATAGAAAGTGAGAGAGGGACAAGCTGGAGGCCAAAGGGGTGACACATGGGCAAGGAAAGCAGAAAGTGGGGACCTCACGGCCAGCCATCCCAGCCCAACTGATGGGGGGGATCCTGGCAGGCCTGCCTGTTCCCCAAGGACAAACCTTTTGTGGCACAAGCCTCAACTCACTTGTCCTGGCTGGGATTCATACCCTTATGCACGAGTCCCTGCCCTTAGTTCCAATCTTACTGTAAGGATTGAGGTAGTTAATCCATTTATACTCGTAGCATCCATCACCTGCGGTTAATCAAAACACATGCTCCCGAGGAGCTTCCTGCTACTTCATTCAAGAAAAAAAATTCTTTTTCTTTTGTCCATCCGGAGTCAACCAAACTAAGGCACCAGCAAAGGCGCCATCAGACTGTGCCCCAAAGCGGGGCACAGGGCCAAGGGTCAGGGCTGGGGCTCTCGCCCCTAAATCCCCCTTCAGACATGAGGCCTCCTCCCTGTCCTGTACCCCAATAGAGAAGACTTATGTATCCAAAGGAAAGAAACTGAAGTTTTCAGCTGGTGTTACTCTAAGTCTGAATACAGAAAAATGTTCTGCATCTAAATTATCGAGTATTTGGAAGGGAAATGGCTTTTATGTCCCCTGGCACTGATGAGGATTTTTCTTCAATCTTCCTGCAATTACTGTGACAGGCTGTGCTGTTTCTCTTCTACTAGTTTTCAAGAAACAGGCAAACAGTCGAGTGGTTTGAATGGCAAAGCCACTAGTATCTCCCCATAAACACTTCAGGGGAAAGAAAGGAGAACCCCCCTACCCTTGATGAGAGGTGGGAGGAAGGGGTTGCCTAGAGGCACCAGCTTCTCCTGTGGAGCAGGAAGGCTCGAGCAGGCCCTCTGGGGCTCTGTGAGGTAGTTACTGGCAGTGCTGGTTCCCAGTTTGGCAGAGGGTATGTCTGGGGTGGGAGGAGGGGAAGGCACCCTTGAGAGCTAACTGAGGCCCCTCCTCACTGCCCGTCTGCCAGGCCTGAAGGGAACTCGGCAGTGCTATCTCTGCAGTAGGGGTAGGGGACTGAGAGCAGTCTCACAACAGGGAGCCACCTGGAGCCCCAAACTTCCTCTCCTTCCCCAAAGTGCAACCAGGAGCTGACAGACCAACTTCTTGGCTCCCTACCCCTTGGCTTGGCAAACACCACACCCTAGTCCCTCAGGAGCCTCTGAAGGGAAGGGCCTTGCCCTTAGCTCCCAGTTTCCAGGAGGCCTTCCTCCTCAGACAGCCAGGTATGTGTCCAAAGCTGGCTACTGCTTTGATTCAGAAACAGCCTCTGTCTGTCTGTCTTTGGCACAGAGGAAAATGGACACATAGAACCAACTAGAGCATCCCCTTCCAGTGTTCTCTGGGTTTTAAATGGGGTCTTTTCTGCCAACAGTGAGGCCTAAATAAGAGAATAGCTCCCAACTGCTGCCAGAAGGAAGGGTCAGGAAAAAGTAGAAGGGCTATAAAACTCCCTGTTCTTAAAAATGGCTCTCTCCTAACCAGACCCTTTCACAGGAGCTGAGTCCACAACCCCAACTGCAAAAGGCAACTAGACCCGAGAGGGGATTAAAGCCATTTGGTGTGTAACCGGCAGATGCAGCTTCAAAGTCAGTCAGTGAATCAAACCATTTTGGTTATGTGTTTCAAAGAATTTAAAAATATATCCTAAAGAGATGGTCCTTTCTTAAAAATATATATGTAGCACACACACACACATATATATCTTAGAGCACAGAAGCTTTTTTTTTAAGTCACTCTTCTCAAATCATCCAAATCTCCCAAGTGCTTTTCGCAATAGCTTGTTATCTCACCAAGAATGGGGAAATGGAGGCACTGAGTAGGAGGGCAAGGAGCTGCCCTAAGACCTAGCCTACAGGGCACAGGAGGGCCCACCAAGACAGGTCCTTCATCCCACTAAACCTTAACCACCAAACCACGCTCCTTTTGCTTACTAGTGGTATAACTTCCACGATTTTCTTGCTAGGCAAATATCAACAATGAGTGGAGCCTTGCCTAATGCAAGCAAGTCAAGTTTTTCCAGTCCCTTGCCACCCACTTCCTGGTTTCCTCTGGGAGCTGAATCAGCCAACGGAAAAGGACTTGGACTCAAGTTGTGAAGGGAGCAGGCCCCCAAGGAAACTGAACACTGCAACAATCACATTTCAGGTACTGTGGGATATTTTTTTCTTCCTGATGATAGCCTGAACCAGATATCAAAGCATGCTTGCTGCTGGAAACTCGCTTTAAATTACTACATGGCCGATGTCTGAACGTTATCTGCTTTGTTTTGGGATAAAGCATATAGAGCCAGAGATGGAAAGCTGGGAGACCCTTTCTGTGGTTGGGACAGGTGGAGAGGCTTAATTCTACTGGCCTGATGTGATCCTTAAATGCTTTTCTGCTTCTTTTCAATTTGGGCCAGACAGTTCTGGGGGCTACAAGGGAATGTCTAGGGAGAAAGTGATAAAGCAGGAACCTGTCCCAGTCATGGCTCCATATCCCCTGCCCCTCCTTGCCACCAGCCACCCTAAATGAGTAATTTCCTAAGTTTGGGTCCACTTTTAAAATCAATCAGACCAATCTAAAGAAAACAGGGAGAAAGAGGTGGGGGCAGTTATCTAGTATCCATTTGCCCCTTGGATCTATGGATACAGATTAAGAAGAATAGCAAGATGGAATTGAAATGAAACAATAACAAAAATAATGAAAAGCATTGCAATGCCAAACTAGGTGGACCTCTCTGAGGGCGAGAGGGTGGCCTTGTCTTTCTTCCATGAATGGAATCTTGGCTCCCATATTTTTAGACAGAGAAATATAGATTTTTTTTTAAAGGGTATATTTTTTAGGTATTATTTCTCTCCTCGATAAAACGGAGGCAATATTTTAAAATATCTCAACAGCACCACTGGTGGGAAAAGCTGGCTGGGATGCTGTTTAACCAGAGGAGGAAAGAGGAGACCAAGGGTCAGTGGTTGGTTATTAGATACTGTTTTGCCACACTGAGGGCCCCCAGCTCTGCTAAGCCTTTTAACCCTAACAGGTAGGATATTCCAGCAGCGGCCAGCAGCTGGGGCTCTAGAAGTCAGAGATCAGAGCCAAATAAGCCTCTGGGCTCTGCCCCTCTGGGCTCTCTAAAACCTAGGCCTTCCCTCTTAGCACTAACTAGCCTCCTCCTAAGGGGCCAGCCCCCACAGCCTTTCCCACCAGGCCTGTTCTCCATAGAGAGTTCCTAAAGGGTTACTGGCTCATGTTGTAAGAAATTATGAAACATAACTTTCTTGTTTTTTCTTTTCATTAAAAAAATAAAATATTCAAGACTATCAGCTTCTCTTTTGCTTTGCTTTGCTTTTTTATATAAAATATCAGCAAGCCGCAAAAAAACAAAAATCAAAAAAAAATTTTTTTAATGGGGTTGGGGGAACAAAAAGGAAAATAATTGCTGAGGTAACTTCATACCTTGAGGTAGTTTACTTCGCACACAGCATTGCCTGACTACGCCCACATGTTGCGGTTGTCTTGTTGTTACCGTTGTTGCAATGTTGAAAGGAGGGAACTCCACACATGGGCTTTTCCACATGTAGAGAGGCCTTCCTCTCTTCCCAGCACACTTGATAGCATTGTCCAGGGTAGCTAAAGTGCATTACCTGGCTAATATGCATTGTCAATCAGTATATTAGGAGGGGAGGCCTAACCTCATTTAACTGATGGCTTCTGTCCCCTACAAGGGCTAAACACTCCATGGGATCTTATTGAGCCTGGTAAATTAATAAATTAAGCTTATTTACCCCCTTGGTGTACAATGCTGCTGGTATTCGGAATATGCCAATAATAATTCACGGAGACAGAAACCGTCCGTTAAAAATTCCTCTCAGATACAAACAGAAGCAAGTACTCTCCAATTTACTGAATTTGCCAGATGATGGACTTTAGCTTTATCAGGAGTTCAGGGTTGCGTTCCAAGTCCCACTACCAAGGAAACAGTGCCGTGGCTGGGAGTGCCCCACAACCCCTGCCTCCAGGAACCAGCCCTTATGGGAACACATGGGCTGGGGTGAGGGCACTGTGGCAGCCTTTGGGGCCACTCAAGTCCTCCATGGAACTGAGACTTTATCAAGGGGAGTTAGCATCCCCTTCCCAGTGCTCATATCCAATCATTAAAATAGACTTTAAAAAAATATAAAATCTGCCTGAGAACGATGGGAATCTGGGACAGTGGTCAGCCCCTACCCTGCTGAGCATTCAATACCACCTATGTGCACCTGGACATAATGTGGAACCTACACGGGAGAGGGACGTGAATGTGGGGAAGCCCCAACAGAGTGGGGGAATTTCAGTTGTGCCAATTTGAAGATGGTGAACTGGAACAGATCAGCCACAAGGGCACTCCTTTTAAACGTGGATTACTATGTATTTTAACCATCTTTCTCTCCATTTTTCCCTCTTCTTCATTCCTTATTATACCTATTGATTGGTTAGAGAGTAATCTACAGACACTGACTTTTCTTTTCCCTTGAGTCAATATTGTAAGCAAAGCGATGCATTCATTCCCATTTTTATCTGGTAGCAATAAAGATAAAACAATTAGTGTAAATATAGAAAGAGGTGGAGAATGGAGGTATTTTAATCAATTACCCAAGTAGGAGGAAGAATACTGGAAAAGTGTTAGTAGGGTCAAGAAATAAATCATCCTTTAAGGCTGATTAAAACACCCCTCTGCATGTTTTTAAAACCTGATAGAAATTTTATTTTTCTTCCCACTGGAGTGTTATCCACCCTCTTAGTGGGGCCTGGAGAGCTTCTTTATACAATCCACGTTTAAAAGCGCCTTGCACTAGAATTTCTGACACCCCAAGGAGCGGACAGTGTTGGGCCAATTGGCTGGGTGTTTGGGGCTGAGAGATCAGGGTTCCTCACTAGAACGTCTTTCTCAAGCGAGTGGGCAAACCTGATCTACAGCCCGGCCCAGGTGTCCCGGATTCCCACTCATTCTCAGGCCTGCCGGGGAGAGCACACTCTGGATTTCTGCCCGTTGTTGTCCTGGACTTGAAGGGATAGGGAGGGGCTGGTCACTTCCTCCGTGCCTGGGCCTGGTTACTCTGTCCCTTCTGATGCTGCTGCTTAACCTGGGCCAGGATGTCTCGGATCTTCCGCTGAGCCATCTGCGGCAAGAACAAGCAAGAAGGGGTGAGGACCTTCAAGGAAACAGTCTTCCACAAAAGAGAAGTCATCAGGTCCAGACACAGGCAATAAACAAAACATGTCACATGGGACTCAGAGGAAAGATAAAGAGGAAGAATGAGGGTTGGGGTGACCTTGTTATTTCTATTTCTTTGCCTCCAGTGAAGCCTGAGCATCCACTGGAAAATACAGCAAACATGGTGGATGTGGGTGGGAGATGGGGTTGGGAGATGTGATGGGAGAACAAACAGTAGTATAAACCCATTCATCAGAATCTAAAACTTGACAAAGTTGATACACATTACCGAACCCAAAATAGAATGCCTAGAGTTTCTAGGTAGAAATATATTACATGTTGTAGACCAGTGGTCCCCAACCATTCTGGCACCAGGGACTGGTTTCATGGAAGACAATTTTTCTTCCATGGACAGGGGTGGGGATGTGGGCGTGGTTTAGGATGACACCTCAGATCAGCAGTCATTAGTTAGATTCTCATTAGGAGTGCGAAACCCAGATACCTCCAATGCTCTGTGCATCCCTCGAGTACTTCACAACAGGGTTCCTGCTCCTATGAGAATCTAATGCCGCACTGATCTGACGGGAAGCAGAACTCAGGAGGTAAAGCCCGCTTGCCTGCTGTTCACCTCCTGCTGTGCGGCCCAGTACCAGTTCCTGACCCTGGGCTTGGGGACCCCTGTTGTAGAGGGTTGCTGAAGAGCATCATAACTTAAGAGATATCATCACAAATCCATGCCTCATTTTAATACCCCAGGAAAAGGAATAAAATGTCCAGATATGGCCAGGTACAGTGGCTCATGCCTGTGTAATCCCAGCACTTTGAGAGGCTGAGGTGGGTGAATTACCTAAGGTCAGGAGTTCAAGAGCAGCCTAGACAACATGGTGAAACCCCATCTCTACTAAAAATACAAAAATCAGTCAAGTGTGGTGGCACATGCCTGTAATCCCAGCTACTTGGGAGGCTGAGGCAGGAGAATCATTTGAACGGAGGTTGCAAATGATTGAGGTAAGGAGGTTGAGGTGGAGGTTGCAGTGAGCCAAGATCGTGCCACTGCACTCCAGCCTGGGTGACATAGTGAAACGCTGTCTCAAAAAAATTTTTTTAAATAAATACTAAAGTCCAGATATGGGTTAGTCAAAAAGCATAAATACATAAGCTTCACTGTGAAAATGGACAAAATACCAAATCTTTTATTATTTCCTTCTTAAAAGGTTCTTCCCTGGGGCCGGGCGCAGTGGCTCATGCCTGTAATCCCAGCACTTTGGGAGGCTGAGGTGGGTGGATCACGAGGTCAAGAGATCGAGACCATCCTGGTCAACATGGTGAAACCCCATCTCTATTAAAATACAAAAATTAGCTGGGCATGGTGGTGCATGCCTATAATCCCAGCTACTCAGGAGGCTGAGGCAGGAGAATTGCCTGAACCCAGGAGGCGGAGGTTGTGGTGAGCAGAGATCGCGCCATTGCACTCCAGCCTGAGTAACAAGAGCAAAACTCCGACTCAAAAAAAAAAAAAAAAAAAAAAAGGTTCTTCCCTAAGAATAAAGTTGTATAAGGGAAATCAACTGCAAAATGGGATTCACTTCATAGAATGAAGATCAGAAGAATGTCTCCTTTCCATAAATGAGTGCTTCCTTTCCTGGTTTAAGAGGAGAAGCTGAGTCTGGGCATTGTGGCTCACGCCTGTAATCCCAGCACTTTGGGAGGCTGAGGCAGTCAGATGGCTAGATTGCTTCAGCCTAGGAGTTCAAGAACAGCCTGGACCACATGGTGAAACCTCGTCACTGCAAAAAAAAAAATACAAAAATTAGCTGGGTGTGGTGCTGCCAGCCTATAGTCCCAGCTACTTATGGGGACTGGGGTGGGAGGATCACTCGAGCCTGGGAGGTAGAGGCTGCAGTGAGCCATGATCATACCACTGCACTCCAGCCTGGGAGACAAGAGCAAGACCCTGTCTCCACCAAAAAAAGAAAAAAGGAAGTTAATCTAGGTTGGGGAAATAATGTGGAAGTCAGTAAGAGGTCCAACTTCATCAACCCTGGCTTGATGTTTTATATAGCTTTTCATTTAATTCTTAGTCTCATCAGCTGAAATTGCTTCAGTGTTTAATATTCATATATCCTGACTTTGTCCATCTTTGGATATATTTACTCTCTTTAAAAAACAAAACAGCTGAATTAAAGATCCCATTTACCCTCTTAAGCTTCGTTTATAAAATGAAATTGTTGTGGGAATTAAATGAGTTAATATATATATAAACCATATAAAACAGTGCTTGTTTATGTCAAAGGTACCCAACCTGTAAGTCTTAGATATTATTATTATGGCTCTTATTAATACTTCTTTTGTTTGTTTCATATATATACACACATACACATACATATGTATATATTATTGAGATGTAACTAAAACCTATCTTATTAATACTTCTCAAAGGGTTATCAGACAGTTACTTATCCAAGGTCACATAGCAGAAAGGCAATGTATGTGAAGTTTGAGGTCAAAGCTCCCTGGCTCCAAAACCTTCGTACTCGATGCTACACCACATGGCACTGAAAGCCAAAAATCCAAGAGCCAGTTTGCTCCAATTGCTCTAGCAGCCCCAGCAGACCACAAGCCTGCCGAGATCCAGATATCCTCTATGAATTGTAGGAGCCGTCATCAACAGTCTCCAAAGTTCCTTTCCAGTTCTAACACTGATGGATTTAAGATTTTAGGAAAACACCATTAGCTGTCAACCACCTGTTTGCCTGCCTTGTTGAGGTTCAGCAAAATTTGAACCTGATATTGGCCTTTCCTTCTAGGCTCTGGAGCCTGTCCCAGTGCTGGACAGCAATGATGAGTTCTGGGAAAGGAAGGGAAGGGTGGAAGAGCAGAAACCAGGGAGGGAATAGCCATTCTGAGAAAAGCAGAGGAATTACATTTCAAAAATGCAGTCAATCCAGGGTATTAGTACTGTGATCATTATTCCATGAACAAAACCAATCTTCTTTCCTAACCAGTGCAGAAAGGGGCTAGGGAGGGGACTAATGTTTAACATATTATATGTGTGTGTGTGTGTGTGTGTGTGTGTTACAATATACAATATATGTAGCATGTTAATATACAATATATAAACATGAAAGTTGTCAAATCACTTTCCCTAGAGAGTAATCAGAAGGAGTAAGTCATCCACGCATCCTACTTCTGCATCTGAAAGAGGGTAATAACCTAGCCCAGAGGCAGGCAGATGTGGCTGAGGCCACAGGATTTGCCAAGGTCATGCAAGTCAACCTCTGGAGTCTCTGCTTCTCTGCTCCCTGGGCTCCTGTAGCCCTCCCGCAATGGGGGAGCACCATATGTACCTGACTGGCATAGAAATGTCCGATGATTTTCACGATGACCTGGTCATTCTCATCAGGGGTCTGGTCTCTCGGCACTACCACCTCAGCTGCCGTCAAATTCTGCAACTCGTTCACCTGGGGGTGGCCAGAGAGGAGCTCAGGGTGCCATCAAAAAAGCATGGGTGGGGCTGCAGGGAGGAGCCAGGGTGACTAGTGGGGAGAAACTGGAAGAGTCAGGAGCTGAGCTTGGGAAGTAGAATCAAGTAAATGAACAAATTAGGAGACCTGAAGTTGAGCAGCACAGGAGCCCAAAGAGAGCTGTTGGGATTGGAGACCAAGGCCCAGGGCTTTCAACCTGGCCCTCACAGCTCACCGTTTTGCCACCTTTGCCAATGACCCGGCCAGCTGCCGATGCTGGCACCCGTATGTGGGTTTCCAGCTTCACTTCCTCCTTGGGACCAAAGAAGTTCTCCTCCTTGAGTTTGCCATAGATTCTTCCCTGAGCCTGGGAAGAGGAGGTAATTGTTAATCAGTGGATCATGTATCTGTGACAAAAAGGAAAAGTGGGGAAAAGGAAGTATAGCCCCCAAGCTCTGGCCCACAGGCCCTCCCCATCCTAGTCGGGCCAACCATCTAAGGCAGCTGAAGGGCAAGGCGCAGGTGGGCAGCTTGTCAGCATTCCTTCTGCTTAGCTATCACACTGGAGACCCTGAGTGGAGATTATGAGTTATGAGTAAGCGAATAAACACTCCCCAAGGGAAAAAATATTTCCCAGAGGAACGTAATTCACAAGCTACAAACCAGACCTATGGGGTCTGGGATGATTACATTGACCAGCATTTCAAGGCCCTAAATGGAAAGTAATCAAGTCACACAGAGGGCAGGGTAGCCTGACATTCCAGTGGCCCAGAGAGCCGTCCCAGTCCTCTACAGGTTAAGTTAAGCTAATAGATGGTTCATTTTTTGGCTGTCTGATCAGAAGTTCGAGAACCTTAGGATTTAGCGGGGACATAAAAGAAGAGAATCTGGCATCAAAGGCCTTCCTTAGAAATGAAGGCAGAGTGCAAATAAGATGCCTTCGGACTTCTTTCCTTCCCATCTTCTTCTGTTGACTTTAAAAAGGGAAGTGGAAGTCAACAGAAATTGAGTTTGACGTCAATTTGAAAATAGCTCTGCAGCCCTTTATCCTGCAGGGAAGGCTTAAATATATGATGAGGACTTGATGGCTAATGGCAAACTGCCCCAGCCTTTTTCCTACCACAGAGGAAATACCCAACCTCAATTCCTCCATGTTCAGCTTGGAAAACAATAAAGACCAAAACCTTGAATTGGGCCTCCGGCGGTCCAGTGATGATAACCATACGAACTTTGGAGTCAGGTGTTTCAGGTGGTGCAATCTAAAGAGCAAAAAAGCTAATCAATGATGGACCCGCCATGGGAAGACCCCCACCATACCTACTTCATCCAGTTCCCCTTTACCACCCTTACTCGAACTACCCATTCTGAAGACTTAGGAAAGGAAGAACAAAGACCCTGAAGCCCACATCATCACCCCTGCACACCAGAATTATTAGGAGGGCAGAGGTGATCAGTTAGAAGGACTGGCTTCAATGACATTTTCTAAGTAGGACCTCCTGCCCCCTCCACCTACCAATCTCCTGATCTCCCAAGAGGTTTCAGTGGAGTCTTGCCAACAGGTAAGGACATAAATAAAATGACCAACAGATAGAGGACAATAACTGCACCTCCACTGGGGAGCAATCAAGTTTTCTGCCCAACGCCTTTAAGACAACTGAAGCAACTGGGTTTAGTTTGTGAAAATTAACAGTACCTTTGTTTCACGATGACAGATCTCCCTTCTCTCTCCCCTAGACACTGGCTAGGGAAGGTGACAAATAATCAACACTTGGTGTTACTATGTGAGCCAAAGGTTTTGGCTGCATAGCCTCATTACATTGTACTGATGAGGAAAGTGAGACTCAGATCACATAGCGTATGGGGGAAGGGGTGATAAAGTGGGTCTGGGATTTGAACCCAATTCTATTTGTGTTAGAACCTAAGTTCTCTTTCTATGTTACAACCCTGCCCTGCCCAGCCTGAAAACCCAGAAGCACTGAAGCCATTCCATGGGGATCAAGCAAGGTTAAAAAGAAAGAGGACTGCAATTCTATGGGGGAAAGCCCCCTCACATGAGACACAGAATTCTCAAATGAGTATGGGGAATCTGGGAGAAAGTATAGAGTGATAGAAGCAGAGCCCCCTCCCTTTCCAGAAACAGGAAGACCCACAGAGCAGATCACCTTGATGGAGGCGCTGGCAAACCGGGAAAGCTGTTTGATGTGCTGCCCCTTCTTGCCGATGATGGCGCCCACTGCCTGGGCGGGAATAAACACCTGCACCATCTCCTGCTCGGGAGCCTGCTGCCAGGACACAGAATGTTATTACCTGGGGGACCAAGGAGCAGGGCCCAGAAACCCTCCATTCCCCTGCCTTGCATCCTCACTCAACGAGGAAGGAGTAAAGGGAAAAGGCCAGGAAAGAGTGAGGAAACAGTGCTGCCTGTGCCCCGACAGCATTCTAGGCAGACACTTGGGAACCTTAGAGCCAGTGGCTAGGAGCAATAGAGAGGAGGGACACCCCAAGCCCTTCCTTCCCTCTGCCTGCAAAATGGCCAGGCAGCCAACTCCCATAGGGTGCTTGGCCCCCCGTTAAAGGAGGCTACATATGGGCCCAGGGGTCCCATGTAATAAGAGCTTCCACCTACCATAAAGGAGCTATAGGGAGCAGCCCCAGTAACGCTGCTGGGAGGTGGCGGGACTGCGCTGGACGAGGCTGGGAAAAGACCTACAGCAGCCAGGTTCAGGCCAGGGATTAGGTGAGACTGAAGCTGTGGAAGAAAGGTGAGGAGGAGGAGTCAGCACACCCTGACAGGGCCTGGTAGTCCCTTGTGTGTGGCCCTGGCTGAACCAGAAGGGCAAGGAGCCCCAGAGCCAAAAACATTAATTACATGCTTTTACACAAAAGCGTACTTTGTGCTTTTCATACACTCTCACCTACACACTTCGGGTGTGAAATTTTAAGTGATAGGATGTTCTCATTGGACTAAGGGCTAGCAACAGCAACCAGAAATGCCAAAGTTACACAACCTCAGAAGTCCTTTCTCTCTGGCTGTTCAGACTGCTGGAGACAGATAATAGACTCATGACACTCTATTATAATGCCCCTATATAAGAAAAGAAGGTACAGAAACAGAGTTCCATTTGACTTCTAGGACTCTGGTTCTAAAAATTTTTGGTCTGTACCCCAACCCAAGTCTCCTTTAAAAAATGAGATAAGCTGCATGAATTGGCTCATGCTTATAATCCTAGTACTTTGGGAGGCCAAGGCAGGAGAATCATTTGAGCCCAGGAGTTCAAGACCAACCTGGGTGACACAGCAAGACCCTGTCTCAAAAAAGTAAAATTTTAAAAAATTAGCTGGGCATGGTGGTGCACACCTGTAGTCTCCTAGGTACTTGGGAGGCTGAGGCAGGAGTATCCCTTGAGCCCAGAAGGTCAAGGCTGCAGTAAGCTATGATCGTGCCATTGTGCTCCAACTGGGCAACAGAGCAAGACCCTGTCTCAATAAAATAAAATAAAGAAAAAAAAAGATATAAAAATCAGATGAAAATGATGAACCTCCCCACTTCACTAAAGTGCACACAAACACAAATTGTACACATACTTGGAACCACATACTTGGACTCAAAGCCCAAGATTGGACCCCTATCCTAGGAACCAGGTGAAGAATCCTTGCTAATTAAATACAATTTAAAAACCTATTTCTCACTGCCAAGGTCCAAAAGCATCAACTAAAGCTTCAAGGCCACATGGCACAGGGCACATATCCATCACCCCGTACCCCACCAGCTGCTACTGCTAAGACTCAGGAAAGGATAACCAGAGGATTCTAGCCCAGCACTCACGCTCATGGCAGCCACATCATTCTCGTAGGCCTCTCGAACTTTCTTCATTATTTCCTGCTCAGCCCTGCAACAATTCTCAATGGCCCCCTTCACAGTGATGGTCCTCTCAGGGTTGTAGAGGGTAAGGTCCTGCAACCTGGCAGGAAGAGCAGAGCCGTGTCCTTTCACTGGCAGGCCAGGACCAGGCCCCGGAAGGAACAAAGACAAGAGGCCAGCTGAGTCACAGGCCTACCATTTCTGCAGGCTAGTCAACTTCCGGCAAACGATTCTGCATCTCCAGTATTTGGTGTCCCCAGTTTGTAACCAGGGCAGGGGGTAAGATGGAGGGAGATGACAACACCCAGCTCAAACCCCTCTGTTAGCAAATGGATCCAATCGCAGACAGATTATGGTTGCTGGTCAAACAGGAAAGAGAATTGTGCCGCCAAGTTTCTCCACTGATTCTACACAATCCATGTTCTGTACCTTTTTGGACAAGAGCAACTACTTTGCCCACAGGCTAGTCTCTGATGAAATAAACAGGCACACTGCTTGCAGCAGCAGCCCACCACAGACAGAAAAGGGCCAGAGTCACTTCTCATAGTGACAGCCCTAAAGCCCTGAGTCCCTAGCTCCTAGTTGCAGGCTGTCCTCAAGCCACAGAGAAACAGGGCTGTGATGTGATTGGACATGGACTACAGAGGCAGCACCCTACAACACCCCCACCTCATATGACAGTGGAAATGGGCAAATCCAGTCCTTATAGAGATTTTTTTAAATACTTTTTACCATTTCGACTATTTTTCTTCCAGAGGCAGAGGGAGCATCAATTTTAAAACAGCACAAGTCAAGCTTCCATGATGAAATACTGACCCTGGCCCACATGCATCCCCCACTCATAAAAAGGGAAACAGAAGAGAGCCTTACGAAGAAATGGTGATTTTTGTTTCGGTGTCTTGCTCCACCTTTTTCAGGTTCCGTCCTTCCTTGCCAATGAGACGCCCTACAAAGTTATTATGGGCCAGGATCTTCAGGGGTACCTCATCAGCCCTTGGGAAGACAAGGGAAGAAGTGGAAGACAAAATCTCCTTCAATTGTGGCCATCATGAAGACTCCATTACCATGCCACTCTAGACCCCTGATTTGACATTTCCAAGTAAAACATCTCAAAACTTATCAAACTGCATACTTAAAAAATATATGTGATTTATTATATATGAATTGAACATCAATAAAGCCTATTTATTTTTAGCAGTGAACTGCTCAAAAAAAGAAAAAGCCAATTTATTTTATTTTATTTTTTGAGACAGGGTCTCACTCTACAGCCCAGGCTGGAGTGCGGTGGCACACTATCAAGGCTCATCACAGCCTTGATCTCCTAGGGTCAAGCCATCCTCCCTTCTCAGCCTTTCCAGTACCTGGGACTATAGGCACTGTCCACCACATCCAACTAACTTTTCTATTTTCTGTAGAGGTGAGGTTTCACTATGTTGCCCAGGCTGGTCTAAAACTCCTAGCCTCCCAAAGTGCTGGGATGAGAGGCATGAGCCACTGTGCCCAGCCAATAAAGTTGTTTTAAACAGCACAAGTGTATAAAGGAGCATATGAAAGCAGATTCCTTCCATTACTGTTTTCCGATGAGGAAAACTTTAAAACAATTTAAATATCCATCAAGAAATAGGAGATTCATTACATCAACTATGGATAGCTATACTGTGGAATTCTCTATAAAAACAATGAGGTCTGTCCATATGTACTAATATATGTGTTGATACAGAAAATGAAAAAAAGTATAGAACAGCCTGTTCAGTGTGATTCTCTTTGAGCTAAAACTCATGTGTACACATGTAGGCACGCATACACATACCTGTGAGTGCACAGAATTTTTAGGGTATACAACAGGAGTAAGAAGGGGTGGGGTGTGGTGGCACGCACCTGTAATCCCAGCACTTTGGGAGGCCGAGGTGGAGGGTCACTTGAGTCCAGGAGTTCAAGACCAGCCTAGATGATATGGTAAAACCCCATCTCTACAGAAATCTAGTCAGGTGTGGTGGCACACGCCTGCTATCCTAGCTACTCAGAAGGCTGAGGCAGGAGGATCCCTTGATCCCCGGAAGCAGAGGATGCAGTAAGGCAAAATCATGCCACTATACCCAAGCCTAAGTGACAGAGCCCTGTAAGAAGATTTTATTTCTCAGTTCACATCTTTTTGTGCGACTGATGACTGTATTTCCTGCACGTCTGTATTACTGCTGTAAAAAGTTGAGTTGGGGAGGCTCAACTAGACTGGCAGCCCCTGAAAATCCAAGAAAAAAGCTAGAGCCTCACGTTTTGGTGTCCTTGGCCTCTTTATGCATAATCTCCAAGATCATCTTACAGGCAGAGGAGCAGCCCTCGGGGGTGGAGTGCACACTGATGGCTTTTTCAGCTGCACCTGCATTCTCCTTCCTATGCACGTCTATCCTGGGGGTGACAAGGAGAAGTCTGGTTAGTTGTCCCCAGTGATACCAGTACTTCAGGCTCCCCACCACCACCACCACTCCTCAGTCAAAGGCATAGAACCTGCTCTTCTTGGAACAAGGTCAAACAAGTACAAATTTGGGAAGAGCAATGAGTGGACTGGAGAAACACAACCCATCTGTTACTCTGGATTCTGTCTTAGACCAGCAATGTCTCGATCCAGGCACAGTAGCTAACAGCTATAATCCCAGCATGTCTGGAGGCCGAGGCAGGTAGATCACTTGAGGCCAGGAGTTTGAAACCAGCCTGGCTAGCAAGGGGAAATCCCATCTCTACTAAAAATAGAAAAAAAATTAGCTGAGTGTGATGGTACTCAGCTACTCAGGAGGCTGAGGCACAAGAACTGCTTGAACCTGGGAGGCAGGGGTTGCAGTGAGCTGAGATCACGCCATTGCACTCCAGCTTGGGCAACGGAGTGAGACTCTGCCTCAAAAATAAATAAATAAATAAATACCAAAAATAATTTTTTTAAACAGGTGGTTAGGGAGAACACAGCCTATGACACAAATGCAGGGGTGGGAATTACCAGTCCATAGCTCCAAAGCTGCATTTCTGCTTGAAACAAATATAAAGAGAAGATAGTGCCTCAAACTCAAAGTAAATAACAAGATTTACTATGATAAGGACATAATGTGACCTTTCTTTGCCGACGAGTACACTGATCATCTATAAAGACCAGAGAAAGAAGGTGGCTGTGGCAGAATGGGAGATGGGACCCAATTATGATGGTCCTGACTTTGGACAGGTTGGCCAGCCCTGTTACCACACTAAGTGGTCATTAAATCACAGAGCACTGAGGAGTGGCTGACATATCAAAATAAGGTTTACTTGGAAACTTTCTATGAAACTCAACATGAGAAATTATAGAACCTCTCTTGCTAATAAGTGTATTGGCCCAGCACCCCAGACCCACTCTCCCTGCCCATCTGACCTCCCTTTCCCACAAGGCTGGGATTGGAAGCAGTGACCCCTTGAATACTCCAGGCAACATTTCCTAAAAGGTAAATGTTGATGTCCCCAGCATGCTTCCACGAGGCCTCTTTAGGTACCAACCATTGTTTTTTAACACCCAGCCACCATTCCCTAGGAGTCAAGACTCACTTGGACTGGGTCTGTTTTGTGATGTTGCGGATGGTGGCCCCCTCCTTGCCAATTATGGCACCCACATACTGGGTGGGCACCAGGAGTCGAAGGGGGATGTCCACTTGCTGCTGCTTGGCTGGAGCCCCCGCTGCCACAGGTGAGCCCTGGCGGGGCTGACCCCGGGAGCCAAAGCCTCCACGGCGCCCATTCTCAGGTCCTTGTGCTATCTGCTCATCAGGGATGTAAGAGACCTTCAGGGCATGGTTCTCCAACTGGTGGCCGTTCAGCTTCATGATGGCTCTAGGGACAGAGTAAGAGCCTACAGGTCATTCCAATCTATGCCAATCAAACCATATGCTCTCTTGGCCAAAGCACTCTAATAAGTTACAGCTTGGAACACACTAAAGAAAAAGAGGCTAGGTGTGGTGGCTCACATCTGTAATCCCAGCACTTTGGAAGGCTGAGGCGGGCAGATCACAAGGTCAAAAGATCAAGACCATCCTGGCCAACATGGTGAAACCCCATCTCTACCAAAAATACAAAAATTAGCTGGGCATGGCGGCACGTGCCTGTAGTAGTCCACTGGGAGGCTGAGGCAGGAGAATCACTTGAACCTTGGAGGCAGAGGTTGCAGTGAGCTTGAGTGAGATCAGGCCACTGCACTCCAGCCTGGTGACAGAGAGAGACTCCGTCTCAAAAAAAAAAAAGGAAGAAAGAAAAAAGGAGATAGCTACCTGCCCACCACTCCCACCTTCATCTTTCAGAACTTTCTGGTCTAAATAGCATCAAAGACTTCAAAGGAAAAGCACATAAATACAGTGATCCCTAACACTTAGTTGGGATTTATTGTTCACAAAGGCCTTCTATTGGAACCATCAGAGAAATCGGCTTCCAGTCCAATAGAGAATAGGATTCTGCAAGCCTAAAAAGGAAGAGCAAGCCATTGATCTCCAAGTACTCCCATGACAACTGGAAAGCATACCACAGACCTGAAGAGGCTTCACGAAACTGACACAGACTTTCTAGATTGAGAAATCCCTACCACAAGGTGAGGAAACCAACTGCTAACTACTACATAATTAATCCTAATTTTAGAGATGATGAAACCAAGATCAAAGAACAGTGAAATGTATACGTGTAGAATTCAAATGTTAATCCTGCTCTAGCATACTTCCTAATGAAGTATGAGATTCGATTGACTCAAGAATGTGTTTGCTTTATCTTAATTCTGAAAGTTTTTTAAATTAAAGATCTTTATTTCAGACAAAAATTAATATTTCCATAATTAAGATAAAGCAAACACACATTCTTGAGTCCACTACTTAAGGAGACTTATACTATAAGGAACTTCCATGAATATCAGAGTTCCTAAATGTCATTTGAATATTTGCCTACAGGCTTATGGGAAAGCTTCTGAGGCCTTCTCTTTGCAGAAATTCCAGTTTTTCTGAATTCTTCCTTCCTTCAGGTATTCCATTTTGCATTCTTCATAAAAGGCTGGACCATTATAGTTGAGCAGTTAGACGTTTTTTCAATGTAGAATTTTCTTTCCAGCATTTTCCTCCATCAAGATTCCAGAATTATTGCAATATTTGGTAAAATCTTGAACTTGTTCAGAACACCTCTCTCTGGCCTTTTCTGTCATTATTTTAGGGATTAAAACATCTTTTTCGACATGTCTGAGATGTTGCTTTAAAAACTTGCAGTGTCTTCCCAATTGTTTCTGACACAAAATTCAAACTCCTTGAAATTGTTTACATGACATTTCATGAGTCATAACTGAAACCCCTCCACAGCCATGGCACACACTCCTCTTTGATCTCAATTCTCCTTTCTTGTGGTCTTTGCTTCAGCTACTGTTTTTCAAATTTCACGGCAACCCACCAGAAAGTTGTTAAATTTATATGCAGGGTCAAGCGCCAACGCAGCGGGTGGAGAAGCAGCAATTGAGGAACTCTTCTAATGAGCTTCTGGTCTTACAAAAAAAAAAAAAATGCAGTCTTGAAATTTAGTTCTTCCGCAGTCCCCAATGTCTTTTTCTTCCTTTGTTTTTTTTTTTTGTTGTTGTTGATGGAACACTTCACAAATTTTCGTGCCGCCTTTGCGCAGGAGTCATGCTAATCTCTGTACCGTTCCAATTTTAGTGTATGTGCTGTCGAAGGGAACACCCCATTGTCTTTTGTGCTACCTCTCCTTCCACAGTCTCCAGAAACCCCTAACCGCCTACTTGGCTCTGGGCCGCAATCTCACAACCCGCCCCAACCCAACGGGGTCCACATGCACTGAGCTTAATACCACATGCCACCAGTAGATGCCGTAGCCCAAACCCATCACAAAGCCGACTTTCAAAATTACCATGTCTGCTGGCAGCCATTTACTACCTGCTATATACTTGCCAAGCTCTACGCCAGTAGCATCGAATCAAACCTACACCACTTGACCCAGAGGAACGATGCGGCCGCCGTGATAACTGAGTTTGTAAACCCGCTGGCGGTTTGAAATTACCAGGCCGAGACCAGCCTGGAGCCTCCACAACCGCCTCGTGCAGTTCTCAGCCCTCTTGCAAGGAGATCTATCCCCCTGGCTTGCCTTCCAGCTATTTAGGGCTTTTGACCATTTTCTGTGGCCTGCCACCAAGCTACTGCTAGGTATCCTGGCTGGAATCTGACTCACCTCCAGCAAAGTGGTCGGGGCGGGGCCCGGGTCATGGAGGCCACCATCACCAGCTTCCTGCAGGAACTTCTAGAAGGCCAGCAGTCCAAAAAATGGCACGGACAGCGGCCTGGGGGCGACCTCAGAGGGCAGGGCGTCCCATTCCCAGCGCAAGCACCCCGGCCCACCCATGGTGCCCCAGCCACCGTCACCACTGCAAGTGCACGCCCTCAGGGAGGCGCCACACGCGCATGCACGCAGAGAGGCTGCGCGGTCTCAGCCAACCAGCCAACCAGCCAACCCGCCATAGGCTGCTGGCCCAAACCGCTGCCCACTCCCAGCACCCCATATGCACAGGCTCCCAGGGCAAAGATAACTGAGTTAGGGCACCAGTATTCCAATCTTAGTTCTATTGCTCACTAGTTAAGGGAAGCAGGAAGCTTACAACCCAGTGTAAAACTAAGTCTCATCAACCGTAAAGGGAAATTTGATACTTGTGCCCTGCCTACCTTACAGCTAATACATTTAGGTCTGTAATCCATTTTGAATTAATTTCTGTGTTCAGTGTAAGGTAGAAGTCTGAATTCATCTTTTGTCATGTGTATATCATCAAATAGCCCCAGCGCCATTTGTTGAAAACACCTTATTTTTCCTAATAAATTGTCTTTTTAGCACTTAGTGTGAAAATGAAAACAAACATAAAGGCTTATTTCTAGGCTCTGAATTCTATTCCGTTCATCAGTATGTTTATCCCGATGCCAGTACCACACTAATTTGATTACTGTAGCTTTGAGATGTTTTAAAATCAAAACTGTTAAGGATTTTCCGGGTCCCTTGCATTTCTTCATGATCATCTTTGTCAATGTCAGTCAAAACTGCCTATTTTACAGGATTTTATGTGACAATCACAAGCGAAAGAAAGCATGTAATAAATTAAGGATTTGTCGGTTTTACACCAATAAGTCTGGCACCTCCTTTGGTTGAATCCACCTCTGCGGATTCCATCTTGAAAGGCTTTGTATTTTGGTTTTGTTGGGGATTTTTTTTTCGTTTTTTTTTGTTTTGTTTTGTTTTGAGACAGGGTCTCACTCTGCTACCCAGGCTAGAATTCAGGGGCATGAAATCAGCTCACTGCAACCTCCACCTCCACCTCCTGGGCTCAAGCAATCCTCCCACCTCAACCTGCTGGCCATATGCTACCATGCCCAGCTAATATTTTGTATTTTTTTGTAGAGATTGTCCACATTGTCCAGGCTGGTCTTGAACTACTGCGCTCATACAACCCACTGTGCATCAGCCTCCCAAAGTGCTGGAATTACAAGCATGAGTCACTGAGCCCAACCAAATTTTGAAAGATTTTGAGATTTAAAAAAAAAAAAAGTCTGGGTACAGTGGCTCATGCCTGCAATATCAATACTTGGGGAGGCTGAGGTGGGCAGATCACCTGAGGTCCTGGCCAGTGTTGGGAAACCTTGTCTCTACTTAAAAATACAAAAAATTGGCCCAGAGTGGTGGCTCATGCTTATAATCCCAGCACTTTGGGAGGCCAAGATGTGTGGATCACCTGAGATCGAGAGTTTGAGACCAGCCTGACCAACATGGTAAAACCCCATCTCTAAAAAAAATAAAAATAAACCACACACACATACACAATTTCCAGGCATGGTGGCGGGTGCCTGTAGTCCCATAGTCCCAACTACTCGGGAGGCTGAGGCAGGAGAATCACTTGAACCCAGGAGGTGAAGGCTGCAGTGAATGGAGATCACACCACTGTACTCCAGCCTAGGCAAGACTCCATCTCAAAAAACAACACCAACAAAAAAATTTTAATTGGCAAAACATGATATAGTTCCAGCACTTTGGGAGACTGGGGTAGGAAGATTGCTGAGGCCAGGAGTTTGAGACTAGCCTGGGCAACATAGTGAGACTCCCATCTCTAAATATGAAAAATTTTTAAACTGGCCCAGCATGGTGGTACATGCCTGTTACCTCAGCTACTTCAGAGGCTGAGGCAGGAGGATTGCCTCGGCTCAGGAGGTTGAAGCTGCAACGAACTGTGTTCGGAACACTGCACTCCACCCTGAGCAACAGGGAGAGACTCTGTCTCAAAAAAATAACTTTTTTTTAAAACTGTGGCAATGATGTAAGAATTAGAGACAGAATGGCTTGCTTACCACTTATAGACTATAGTCTCAGTATATTTGGTATGTCTGTAAAATGGGGCTGAATAAAGAGAGGGCACAAGCATAATCCATTCCCAAGGCTGATGCTGGCTAGAAATGTTAACAAAGTGGCCAGGCACGGTGGCTCATGTCTGTAATCCCAGTACTTTGGGGAACTGAGGTGGGTCATCACTTGAGGTCAGGAGTTTGACCAGCCTGGTCAACATGGCAAGACCCCGTCTCTACTAAAAATACAAAAATTGCCAGGTGTGGTGGTGCGCACCTGTAATCCCAGCTACTTGGGAGACCTTAGCAGGAGAATCACTTGAACCTGGAAGGTGATGAGCAGAGATGTGCCACTGCACTCCACCATGGGTGACAGAACGAGATTTTGTCTCAAAAAAAAAAAAAAAATTAAATTTAAATTTAAAAATAGCCGGGTGCGGTGGCTCATGCCTGTAATCCTAGCACTTTGGGAGGCTAAAGTGGGTGGATCACCTGAGGTCAGGAGCTCAAAACCAGCCTGGCAATCATGGTGAAACCCCATCTTAATAAAATAAAAAAAATTAAAAATAAATAAATTAAAAAAAAAAAAAAAAAAAAAAAACAGCTGGGCATGATGGTTCATGCCTGTAGTCTCAGCTACTCAGGAGCTTGTTAACAAGGCAACAAAGGCCAGGCGAGGTGGCTCAAGTTTGTAATCCCAGCACTTTGGGAAGCCAAGGCATGCGGATCACTTGAGCCCAAGAGTTCAAGACCAGCTTGGGCAACATGGTGAAACCTCATCTGTACAAAAAATACAAAGATGAACCAGTCATAATGGTGTATGTCTGTAGTCCCACCTACTCAGGAGGCTGAGGCAGGAGATTGCTTGAGCCCAGGAGACTGAGGTTGCAGTGAGCCGATATCACGTCACTGCACTTAGCCTGGGTGACAGAGACTTTTCACCAAAAACCAAGAACAAGGCAACAATAGGCGGGAGAGAACGAGCAAGTGTTGACATGAGCTTTAAAGCCAAAGGGCCCTGGTGGCCACAAGAGGCAGCAGGAACCTCTAGAAGATTCTGGGCCCAGGAGGTATCTAAAAGAAAATAGTAGATATTTGAGGAAGAGGTGGGATTTTACAAAGTATTATTAGACTAGAGAAGGCAGCATTAGACTAGAGAAGGCAGCATGTTGAAGAAGCAAGAAGGCCCAAAGCAAAATGTGGAAAAAGCCTATAACAGGCTCAGGTATGAAGAAAAATGAGTAATGTGTAAAATGTATAGTCTGTCTGTAAAAGCTGGTGAGAAGCAAAATTGCTCAACCAAAGGGCTAGGGGCTAAAATTGTGGGTGCGATGGGAATGAAAGGATCCCACAACTATCACCACCTAGGTTCACGACCATCACTGCAATAAAATGTCTGTTCCAGCATCCCAATGTTGAGCAATCTTTTTTGAACCCCGAAGTTCCTCATCATTATCACTAGATGGCGCCTTGAACACAGCAAAGGACTCTAAGGTGCTGGAGCAACCAGAGACCAATCAGCGGTGGACCTTTTCTCGGCAAGGGATTTCCCACTTCTCTGGGAGGACTTTGGATCCCTCCCTTCTATGTATTTTTGCTATCAATCCTGATATTTCTGAGCCTTTGAGATCCCTGAAACAAAGGACATGATGGAAACCCCCTGAAGAGACATTTTATGCAGGAGTCTGGGTTTGCCGTGGGCTAATATCAGAACCCCGATGGGGACCCCAGACTGCCTAGACCCCCTGAGTAAAGAGGGACCAAGCTCCTACCATCCCCCACTGAGCCCCCACCACCACCCCCAGCCCCACTTTCCAGCCCACTCACTGCCTGGTCTGCTCCCGGTTGGAATAGGTGACATTCACCACTGCTGTCTCACTCTCGGTGTTCACTGCAGAGAAAACAGAGGGCAGTGTCAGAGCAGGGAAATCCAGAGGTCCAACCAATGAATCCCCAGCTCCAGCTTTCCACATTTGGGGACCAAGAAGACAGCTGGAAGGCCAAGCCCAGTGGCTCATGCCGGCAAATCCCAGCACTTTGGGAGGGCGAGGCGGATGGATAGCTTGAGCCCAGGAGACCAGCCTGGCCAACACAGTGAAATCCTGTCTCTACTAAAAAATACAAAAATTAGCTGGGTGTAGTGGCACATGCCTATAGTCCTGACTACTGGGGAAGCTGAGGCAGGATAATTGCTTGAATTGCTTAAACCTGGGAGGCAGAAGTGGCAGTGAGCCGAGATGGTACCACTGTACTCCCAACCTGGGCAACAGAGGGAGACTCTCAAAAAAAAACCAAAAAACAAAACTGAAGACATCTGGCACATACTCCAACTTGAATAAAAAAGCAAAAAATTTACCATTTCAAGGGAGCTACTTGAAAATTCAAATCTACCAGGCAGGGCTTAGTGTCTTATGCCTAGAATCCTAGCACTTTGGGAGGCAGAGGCAGGTGGATCACCTGAGGTCAGGAGTTCAAGACCAGCCTGGCCAACATGGTGAAATTCCATCTTTACTGAAAATGCAAAAATCAGCCAAGTGTATGCTGGTGCATGCCTGTAATCCCAGCTACTTGGGAGGCTGAAGCAGGAGAACTGCTTGCACCAAGAAGACGGAGGTTTCAGTGAGCAAAAATTACGCCACTAAACTTCAGACTGGGTGACAGAGCGAGACTCTGTCTCAAAAAAAAAAAAAAAAAAAAAAAAATCCAGCTAAATGGACTGACAGGAGTGGCTGCAGAAGTCTAGAAAGAAAATAAAAGAATTTGCATGTTTTCCAGGGGAAAAGGTTTCCTGTCTTGGATGTGGCCACTGTAGCCTCAGGATGCTACCATTGATCCCATCGAAGTTCTTGGCTCTAACTAGAATGGTTCGGCAAGCTGACATTAGAATCCCAAGTAGTCTGAGCACATATTTCTCACTTACAATTATTAAAATTAACCTTCTGAGGTGGGAGAATCACTTGAGGTCAGGAATTTGGGTGGGACCAGCCTGGCAACACAGGGAGACCCTATCTCTACAAAAATTTAAAAAAATAAAATAAAATAAAAGTCAGCCAGGTGTGGTAGTACACACCTACAGTCCCAGCTACTTGGGAGGCTGAAGCAGCAGGAGATCACTTGAGCCTAGAAGTTTGAGGCTGCAGTGAGCTATGATCACATTGCATTCTAGCCTAGGAGACAGAGCTAGAGACTCTGCCTCTAAAACAAATAAGTAAATAAAGTTAACCTTTCTCCTGTATCAATGTCTTGTGAATTTGGGACCCCTGGACTTGCTCAACCATGGGGTGAGGAACCCTGACTTAAGTCAAGCCTCTGCCCCCACAACACTGAGGACAGATAAGGCACGTGGCCACAAACTTCAGGGCAAAGAATCTGTCATCCAGGCTGGAGTACAGTGGCATGATCAGAATTCACTGCAGCCTTTAACTCTTGGGCTAATGCTATTCCTCCCATCTCAGCCTCCCAAAGTGCTGGGATTACAGGCATGAGCCACCACCACGCTGGGCCCCAGACCACTCTTAACTGCTTTGGCCTTCATCAGGTCTCTCCCTCCTCAGTGGTAAGGAAGCTTCTGCAAGAACAATCTTCCAGTGACTGGAAATACAGTAGTAAACCAACAAAACCTCTGCCTTCGTGGAGCTTATGGAGAGAAACAATAAGCATAATAAATAAGCAAATTCTATAGAATATTTGACAGTGTTGACTGCTACAGAGAAATATAAATCAGATGAAAGAAGATGGGATGGGTAAAAAGAATGGACCTCACTCAGAAAATGACTTTTGAGCAGACTCAAGGACTTTCTCTATTGTCCAACAAAGTCAAACATTTCCCATACTGTTCTCTCCCGGTAGCAGATATCCTTTCGAGATACGGTGTGTTACCGCTCCCTGGTGAGCCTTGGATAAATTTAAACTAGTGTTGACTCCTTATACGCCTCTTAGTGAAACTCAGCATGCACTTGCTCCCAAGCCACTGCTCAATCTTACTCTCTATTTGTCCAGGAGTAATTTATTCATTAGTCTAAACTGTGAACAGTACTGGGCAGTAGTTATCAGTGAGTCCTGTTGTATCCTGGCATTTAAGATAAAAGGCAAGCTACAAAATTAGAGCAGGTTAGAACCTGTTTGATAGATTCAGCAGTTTACTCTTGGGCGGGTAAAGATTTTCATCATTGTAATCATTTATAGCTTGCCCCTTTCCACAAATAATTTGCAGAGGAATATTTAAATCTCAAACCAAGTGATGATCTATTTGTTTCTTGAAGCTCTCCCAACCTAACCCAGTAACTTGTCTACCTAAAGACTACCTTATGTCCAACCAAAATCACTTCATTTTAAAGTCATTTCCTTAGAAAAGAACTTATAACCCTTGTAATGGAGAAACTTTTTTTCCATTACTAAATGGACAAAACTTGTTTTGTTTTGTTTTTGAGACAAGAGAGGGTCTTGCTGTCACCCAGGCTAGAGTGCAGTGACACAATCACAACTCACTACAGCCTTGACCTCCAGGGCTCAAGCAATCCTCTTGCCTCAGCCTCCCTAGTGACTGGGACTACAGGTATGCACTACTACTCCCAGCTAATTTTTTGCAGACATGGAGTCTCACTGTTTCCCAAGCTAGTCTCAAACTCTTGGGCTCAAGAAACCCTCCCACCTTGGCCTCCCAAAGTACTGGGATTACAGGTGCAAGTCACTGCACCCAGCTGGCAAACTTTTTATGACCTAGAATTCTTTATCGTTTTTCCTTCTGTAGGCCTACTCTTCAAAAGATTTTGCTTACCTAGCAAACTACATCAACTAAGTAATGAATCCTCTGCCTTTTATTTTAATTGACCAAAGACATATGTTGCTACCAATCAGAGCTTCTAAAAAGAGACAATCAGTTGATTATTCCAGCCAAATGGAACACAAGAAAACATGAAGCTTTTAAAGTAAAATGGCTGCTGAGGAACTCAGGTTGAATGCAAGATTTCTGTTCTAAGATTTTTTCTAAAATCCAGAATAGCCATTTCTACTTTGGTTGATCTCTAAGAGCCTGGAGTCTCCATGTGGGGAAGGAGTGGCTTTGTTCAAGCTTTCTGCTAAACAGAAAAGAAATCCAGTACCACAGATAACCAAGACCCAAAGCCAAGGCCAGGAGTCCAGGCCCCCAATCCAATGTAACTCCCTGTGTAACACATTCTATCTGTCTTTCTTCTGCTTTGCAATGTAGATTTGATCATGGAAAGTGAAGCAGAGCAGACACACCAAACTCCTCCAGCCCCCAGCATGAGCACCACCCCATGCCCAGCCCACTCTTACCTTGCTCACAGTTCTCCACTGTACCATACTGAGCCAGCAGGCTGTCCAGTACCTAGGAGCATGGAGAAGGGAAGAAAGGTACTTACTCTGAGAGTCACAGGACCCTTGCAAATCAGCCACTGAATACCCTGCATCCCAAAGCAATGGGGAATAGGCAGAGCCATAGTAGGGTTTCAGCATTATTACCTGTCCAGTGTGACCTTTCTGGGGTGCCAATGCTGATGGGGTGTCTTTGCAGGACTGTACTTAAGTTCTGCCTTAAGGGCCTTTTGGGAAGCAGACCTGAGCTGCCTGAGTCCCTAAATTATCTTCTGCCATTACCAAGTTTAGGGCTCAGGAAACATTCATCTACCTCCCTAAAGCCTCTCACCATAGGGACAACCCAAAAGGTGGAGCTGTGGGTTAAGAAAGGATGAGACCAGTCACTGTGGCTCACTTGACATCAGGAGTTTGAGACCAGACTGATCAACATGGTGAAAACCCCATCTCTAATAAAAATACAAAATTAGCCGGGCATGGTGGTGCAAGCCTGTGATCTCAGCTACTTGGGAGACTGAGGCAGGAGAATGGCTTGAACCCAAGAGGCGGAGGTTGCAGTGAGCCGAGATAGCGCCACTGCACTCCAGCCTGGGCAACAAGAGCAAAATTCCAACTCAAAAAAATAAAAAATAAAAGCAAAAAACCAGGACAAGACCCAAGCCTCCCTAGCCTGGCCCCAGACCTCCCAACAACTTCTGGCAATTCCAGCTGGTCCAGACTTACTTTCCAGGCTCCACTATCCCACCCCATTGAGAATTTCCCCCAAGCTCATGCTCGTGTTTCTGAACAAGAAAAAAAGAAAGAGAGAGAGAGAGAGAGAGAGGGAGGGAGGGAGGGAGGGAGGGAGGGAGGGAGGGAGAAAAAAATGAGAATTTCCCCTAAACACTTACTTCCCATCGGAGCTGGGGTGGAATATTTCGGATTTGAATTTTCCGGCTCCTGAAAGTAAAGAGGGAGCAGAGTTAGCGAAACCTCTAAACGTATTAGGGGTCTGTGAACTCGCAGTTTCTAATCCTTGCCTCGGTTTCTGTTTCCCTATGTTCTGCTCACCAACACCACAGTCTTAAAATCTAAGAATGATAACCTTTTAGGAATGAAGACACGGAGTAGGGGTATCTCACTTTAAAAACCAAAATTATCGAGGGGTAGGCAGGGCAAAAAAAAAATAAAGAAACCAAAATTATCATGAATGCTACCACACCTAGGAATGCAGATTCAGATGTTCTAAGCACTCAAGTAATATTCCGTTTTTAAAAAAAAAAAAAAAAACACAACTGTTTTGTTTGTCTCACTACTTTCTTGCGCATTCCTTTATTCAGTAAGCAGGTTACCATGACTATGTTTCAGGCACTAGGAATACAAAGCTAAATAAGATATTATTTTTTATTTGTTTTTGAGATGGAGTCTTGCTCTGCCACACAGACCGGAATGCAGTGGCATGATCTCAGCTCACTGCAATCTCTCCTCACGGGTTCTCCTGCCTCAACCTCCCTAGTAGGGATTACAGGCTCCTGCCACCATGCCCAGCTAATTTTTTATTTTTGGTAGATACAGCGTTTCACCATGTTGGCCAGGTTGGTCTTAAACTCCTGACCTCAGGTGATCCACCAGCCTCGGCATTCCAAAGTGCTAGGATTACAGACATGAGCCACAACACCCAGCCCAAGACATTATTATTAATTATTCTAACAACCATTTAATTGATATCTACACTTCATGCACTGCTTTGTTCCAGATGCTGGAGACACAGAAATAAACAGAAGAGACAAACTTCCTGGTTGAAGGTGTTCACAATTTATTAGGTGAAATAATATACTCAAACAAATCACAGCAGGATATAGTGCAGTGGTTAAGCCCTTGGCACAGATATGGATTTAAAACTATGCTCCACTAGTATTGACCTTTACAAAATTGTATAACCTCTTTGAGGCTGTTTCCTCCTATGGAAAACAGAGATAATACCTTTTTCACAGGTTGGTGAGGTGATGCTAGAAAATATAAGTACTTAAAGTGTAACAATACATGCATCTGTGAATACTATGGTGGGAGTGATTAACACATACACAAGTCAGCATAATAACCACTATGTCATTATGTACTATACAGTACTTTATTCTTCCCATCTTTATTATCATTACTACTATTAACAATCTTATAAAGTGCTCTGTCACCCAAGCTGGAATGCCGCGGCACAAACACAGCTCACTGTAGCCTAGACCTCCTGGGATCAAGCACCCCGCCTCCTATATATCTGGGATCATATGCACATGGCCACCATGCCTGGGTAATTTCTTCTTCCCATCTTTAAAATGTAATTTTTAGCCTGGCATGCTGGCTCACGCCTCTAATCCCAACACTTGAGGAGGCCGAGGCGGGCAGATCACTTGAGGTCAGGAGTTGGAGACCAGCCTGACGAACATGGTGAAACCCCGTCTTTAAAATAAATAAATAAATAAAATTAGCAGGGTGTGACGACACATGCCTGTAATTCCAGCTACTAGGGAAGCTGAGGCAGGAGAATCTATTGAACCAGGGAGGCAGGGGTTGCAGTAGGCCGAGATCACACCACTGCATTGCAGCCTTGGTGAGAATAAGACTCCATTTAAAAATAAAAAATAAAAAAGGCAGGGCACGGTGGCTCACGCCTGTAATCCCAGCACTTTGGGAGGCTGAGGTAGGTGGATCACCATGGGGTCTAGAGTTCAAGACCAGCCTGACCAACTACAAAATTAGCCGGGTGTGGTGGTGTATGCCTATAATCCCAGCTACTCAGGAGACTGTGACAGGAGAATCACATGAACCCGGGAGGTGGAGGCTGCAGTGAGCCAAGGTAGTGCCATTGCATTCCAGTCTGGGCAACGAGAACAAAAAAAAGGTAATTTTCGGCCAGGTACGGTGGCTCACGCCTATAATCCCAGCACTTTGGGAGGCCGAGGCAGGTGGATCACGAGGTCAAGAGATCGAGACCATCCTGGTCAACATGGTGAAACCCCGTCTCTACTAAAAATACAAAAATTAGCTGGGCGTGGTGGTGCACGCCTGCAGTCCCAGCTACTCGGGAGGCTGAGGCAGGAGAATTGCTTGAACCCAGAAGGCGGAGGTTGCGGTGAGCCGAGATCATGCCATTGCACTCCAGTGTGGGTAACAACAGCGAAACTCCATCTCAAAAAAAAAAAGTAATTTTCCATGAGGAAGGCTTTCAGGTTCAGGGTTAACTCGGAGATCACTTGCTCACCACCCAAATCAATGCACTAATCCCTGGGCTTAAAACTTTTAAATTGACTTGATATATTGGTCAACTGCCATTTATATCTTTGTTTATCCTTGATCATACACTCTTAGTTCAGGGACAATGTCCAAAAAAATTCTAGTGGCTTGAAGGAAAACTTAACTAGAAAATAAGAAAGTCCAGTTCTAGACCTTAACCTGCCCCTGGACTGGCTGTTCCTCTCATTAAGCCTCTCTTAAGCTTCGGACCTCGGTATTCCAACCTGACAAGCAATGGGGACAGTACCAGCCGTTGCAAAGCTTGGGCAAAGGGGTGTTGTAAACATAAGGGCCAGGGAAAAGGGATGCTAAGCTCTAGCTATCAAAGTGTTGAACTTGGCTGTCCTGGGCCAGTTCACTCACTTCACCCTTGTGACCTCAGTATCTCCAGCTTTACAATTGGTACAGCAAGGTCTTTATGATCATTTCTAGCCTGCAATTCTAAAATGTGGAGAGTCTTCATCCATAAAATACATTAAGGTCATCTCTCCCAGGGATGAAATAATGGGGAATGAAGGCAATCAGTATTGAAGAGAATCTATGTTTGCGGCTCTCTTCATTGGTTTGTTCATTAAGTTGACTTGAGTAGGTCAGATTATAGCAGGACAAAACCGTAATATAGAAATCCAGTTCCCCAGATGCCACTAGACCACCTTTTGGTGATTCAATTCATTGGCCAAGAGGGAATCCCCACATCTACCCTTGTGAGGAACTTCCCACAACTCATTTGATGACCAACTAGACAGACTGAAAGTGCAGAAGCGCTCACAATGAAAGCAAAATTGCTGGAGAAATGAGGAAAAGAAATGGCCATGCCATTGAAAGGTTGAGAACACATACCCAGTTTAGCACCTGTAACAAGATATTATCCAGGACCAGCACCGGGACCCCCTCAAGGGAACACTTCTGGTTGAAGGGCAGAGAGGTGAGGGTGGCTCAAACCAGTAAAGGCCTATGGGAACCCCAGCTTAGGAGCCCAGTTTAAAGTGTGCTTTTTCAAGATGGTCCCTTAGTACAATCTAAGGTCAAAGGTCAAAATTCCCTCTCACTTCAAACTCCTAGTTTTAGGGACTTTCTTTCAAGGAGGGAATGGGGGGAGGGAGAAGGGTGGCAGTGGTGAAATCAAATCTCTGCTGGGATGTTAATCCATATCCTGAAAGCAATGGCAGGCAGATCGTCTGGAATGTCTGGAATGTTCCAGGAGAGGGAGGGGGAGGAGGGCAGGGCCACCCAACCAATGAAAGAAAAGACATCCTGGCAGCCCTCCCCCACCCCAACCAGCAAAGACTCACCCAGCCCTCCAGGGCACACACCCCACCCTGGGAACCCACTCCAGGCCCCTCCAGGCCTCCTTTCAGCAAAGCCCCCAGCCCTGATTAAAACACAACAGGGCAGGCAGGGAGACACAGAGGCCACGAAGAACCTTTGTCTTTTTAAGCCTTTGGCCTGGTTTCTATTAAAGTATGGTGCTACCTAATTTCTTTCAGGCCCAAAGCACTTGGAGCATTGCTGAGAACTGTAACCTGTGTTCCTTTCTCTTGGTTCCAGTCTTATTCATTGCACACTTACAGAAGGCCTGGTGTGGGCTGATCTGAGGTAGTGTGTTGGGAACTTGGGGGATCCAGATGAAAGCTAAGCGCACCCTAACTGGTTATTTCTTCACTCTGAACCTTAAGTTACCTTCTATGAAACTTCAATAAGACTTCTATGAAGACTTCAAAGAAAAAGTGTATAAAACAAGCTCTCTGCCATGTAGTAAGCACTCAATCCATGTCTAAGTCCCCAGTCCCAGGGAACTAGAGTTTTAAGACTAGCAGGCAGGTAGGGTTGACAATGGTAACAGTTATTAAGATTTTATTTCTGCACTGGTGGGGATACAGTGAAAAATACCACTGCCTAGAGTCCCCCCTCTACTCCCCCATCTCCCTAGTAAAAGGGTCCAGGGACCAGAGACCCACTCCAGTACTCCAGTAGACCAGCTTCTACCAGAGTTGAGCAGTGCCTTTGCCCTATCTTTGTAGTATCTCCTGGGTACCTTCTATATGCCTGGATTGCCTAAACTGATGAACATCCATTGTTCAGAAAAGGAAAGTGAATTCTGAGTTCATTAATTCCCCCCACCCTCCTCCACCTTCCTAAAGCTGATAAACCTGTGGATGGAAAGAATGAAGCAACCAGTCACTGGCAATAAAGGCAATAGTTGCACCAGCCTATTTTCTTGGGTGCCAACATGCTGTGGCTTCTGGTGCTCTCTGCCTGCATTGACCTACAGAGCAGTTACCAGGTCCTGGGTCAGGGATGGGGCATGTGGCGGGGGTTGTGGTGGGCAGTTTGTTAGATACATAGCAACTACTGAGGACTCGCCTCTCAAAGGCTGCTGGGCCAAGGAGGGGGCTTAAGACCATTCTTTGGAAATGCGCGGGCTGGGGGGGCGGGGGCAATTCAGGAGGAAACAGAGGGAAAGAGCATCCTTGCCACAGCTTAAGCTATATAGGAAGTAGGAGATTCTGGGAGCACAGGGAGCAGGGCCCCTGGGAGGGAGATGAGGTTGGGAACTCTCCCTGGGCTGAGAGTTCTCATCCTTTCATACCTCAAGAGTTCAGAGAAGTGTCACTGACTCAAACTGAAGAGAAAAGAAAACAGTTCTCAATTTGGGAAGAGCCTAACTTATA